ATTTATTAGTCTACAGTTTACTGTATTTCTTGTATATATTTGTTATGAATTTGGTACTATAATTCAATGTACATAATCTGATATTTACCCATCGTCAAATGTAAATATTATTTTTATAGCCAGATAATGAGGACAAAAAGATTCTTGAAACTGTTGCAATAATAAAAACTTAATACTAAATGCATATTTATTGTATTATTATGTAAATAACACTATAGTTAAAAGATCTGTTAGGTCGGTAAATTAAAAAGGCCAAATATAGAACAATCATGAATGAACATGAACAGACACGTGAATATTAACTATTTATAATGGTCATTATACTTGAGAAGCACAATTATAACGATACACTCAACTATCTATTCATCCGTTTGAAATATTGAGATGATATTTTCCTGTAAGGAAACTGACCGACCGATCACAGAAAGTTACTTTAGAGGAAAAGTTTCCAAACTTAGAACCCTACAGAGTGGGCTTAGACCTCCTGGAGCGGAACTTTTGGAAACTCATTTCAGAGTATATTATTCAGATACTGATATGAACAATATCTTAATTTGAAATAGTATTCTCTTTGTCTTTCACCCATTTCAATTTGAAGTAGTATTCTCTTTGTCTTTCACCCATTTCAATTTGAAGTAGTATTCTCATTGTCTTTCACCCATTTCAATGATGCGGTCATAAAATGATGTAAGGTGCACCGTGAGAATTTCTACGAATTTTTTCAAAATTAGGATTTGACTGACGTGTTCCCACATACCCGAAGTCAGGCAGGTGCTGCAGATTAACATCTACAAATAACATGTCCTGAAGGAAGGAGGGCTTTGGCGCTGCCGTTCAAGCAGAATCCCAGGGGGAATTTTAAACAAATACCCATCGAATGAAGACCAAAAATATTTGGAAAATTATAACTGTACAGAAACACAGATTGGGCCACTCTACTATTAAAAATTGTCATACATAAAGCACTGTCATTTTGAGGCCAGAAAACCATAAAAAATAATACCTATTTTGTAGTTTCAATATGTTCACACAGACGTTTTAATGCTATTAAATGTACTTCCTCGTTCGTCTACAAAGCTAAATTAGGAAACACTTGACAACGGAAGAATATTCAGCTACTTTCAAAAATTGAAAGAACGCCGTAAAAAATTAAGTATCGAAAGCGGAGGAAAACGGTCTCGCGCAGCTGCCTCCGCGAGGGAGCAGCTGCGGGGGCGGAAGCGGACGGGGTGGCGGGGAGCTTCCCGGATGCGGCGCGGCGC